CAAAGCTAACCAAAGATTACAATGCACTGTGTGTTTTTCTCCTGACTTCTGTCTTTTTCAGGACCTCTACACTGGTCTGGTGAAGAGGATTGGTAAGGAGGAACATGGTCTATACATACTACATGAAGGTCCAAGTCAAGCTCCAAGTCAGCTGGTCAATTGTTGTATAACTAAGTCTGTTAGTTCTGTTACTAAGTCTGAAGATTTGGTCATGCACCTATTGATGTAATAAAGAAGCACGAGTGTCTTAAGACATTAGCAAGTAGTGATCAACTTCACTGCATTGTTTGTCCTCTAGCTAGACATGTTAAACTTCCATTTCCTATAAGTACTCAAAAGATTAATCATGTATTTGAATTGATACATTGTGATTTATGGGGACTTTACAGAGTTCCTACCTATAATGGAAAGATATTTTTTGTTACTATTGTGGATGACTTAGCAGGTATACTTGGGTGTTCCTAATTGCATCCAAAGCTGACACTATAGTTGTACTCAGAAACTTTCTTAAACAGGTTCAAAATGTATTCTCTACCACTGTTAAAACTCTGAGAACATACAATGGTTGTGAGTTTTTTAATGGTGAGGTTCAGACTTTACTAAGTGAACTTGGAATTGATCATCATAGTACTTGTGTCTATACACCACAACAGAATGGTGTTGCTGAAAGAAAGCATAAAACCATTCTTGCCATGGCAAGGTCTCTCGGGTTTCAAGCCTCTATACCACTCAAATATTGGGGTCATTGTGTCTCACTTTTGGGGAGAGGAGTACCTGGTACCACCAAGCAAATGTTTATAACTATTGTTACCCTGGTAGAATGTGAATGTGTTGAAGGGAAGGCCAAGGGTAGGTCTAGGGTAGCAGATCTCCTAGAGCAGCAGGCTTCTCTCAAACGAGAACTGACTGATCTAACAGTGGTCCTTAATGACAAGGAGGTTGAGATTGCGCAACTTAAGTCTCAGTTGCAGAAAGTTGTCTCGAAGGGACCGGGTACCAGTGGTGTGGATGAGCAAGTAATGCAGAAGTTGAGAGCTGAGAACGAACAGTTGTTGTGAGGAAGTCAAAGCTCTCAACAAGCAAGTCATTCAGGCCCATGAGGCTGCAAACGAGCGGATGTCCTTGCTAATGCAAACCCTTACTCCCATTCACCCTCCATCCTAAACGAGTCTTGTCTCCCTGGTTTCTTCATCCTTGTGTCAAAACTCTAGTGGCTATGTGTAATGTTTTGGCTGATTCTTGTGGTCATCTTTAGTGATCTAATGCTATTTGTTATTATGCCATGTTCAGTATGTTTTTCTATTCTCTTTTATGCTTACTTGTGCATGCTCTGTGTGGCCCATGGCCCTGAATTCTTAAATGCCTTGCATACAACTTGCATATGTTTACTACTATTCCTTTTCAATGATGTCAAATGGGGGAATTGAAGGTGAATTGTGTTGTGAAATTAGAAGGGAACTGAACTAAGAGGGAAGAACAGTGACAGGGGGAATTAATGTATCTTTGAATGAATGCTTAACACTCATGTGAGGTTGTCCGTGTAGATTGTTTGTCATCATCAAAAAAGGGGAAATTGATAAGTCTTAATACTCCCAGATGTTTTGATGATCTCCCCACAAGTGCAGGGACCCGGTCCTATGCAGAGTATGTTCGTCCAGGACCATATGTTATACAGCTGGAAAGTTGTCCACGTTAGAAGTTGGTGAGGTCGTCAGAGTACTACACCAACCAGAAGGGACGAGGTTGTTTGTCCAATGGGTATTAACTCTTGATGTTTGATATATTCAAGACAACAAACATCAAATCATTTCATTCATTCAAAGAGAGAGATTCAAGCTTCAAAATAGCAAGGGACCTAATAGTTTACATTATTGCTTCTTGAACTAGTTGTTACCTTGATTGCTTTTATTTGTGCTTATATTGTAGGAATCGTTTCGCTTGTGATAGAAACGTTTCAACCTTGGGTGAATCATTGTAAGAACTTAGTTGAGGAAAACTTAGTGTCTTATGTCAAAGTCTATATTAATCAGTTGGGTTAGTATAGTGGGCAATGCAGACATTGCTTTGGCTCATTGAGTGATAGTGTATTACTCAAATAGAGATTAGCAGGTTAATCACGTGTATGTTGTAAACTGGGTTTTACTTTGGCTTGTGAAGTTTAGTAAAAGCAGTTGGAAAATCATGTGAGACAAGTCATGGTTTTACTCCCTTGAGCAAGGAGGTTTTCACGTAAAGTACGTGTGTCATCATTACTTTCTGTACTTATTTTCTGTTCATTATAATTGTGTTGAGGACCTGGTCCTATCGTACTTAGTGGACGCAAACATTCCAACACATGAAACAAGAAATTGTTTCAATATTTGATTTTAGGGTGAGTCTCTTAGGATGACAACTCCACAGCAAAGCATCCACAAGTGTTGGGTACTTTCCGCTGGACAACTCTATATATACAGTTAAATCGTTCACTTTGGGGGTTGCAACTGTATGGTGCAGTACCAAATCATTCGTGTTGATCTCATTGCATTCCCAAAATCTAAGGAAAACTAGAGACCAAGAGGTCGACTTTGATAGAATTTTCCTTAACTCACCAAACCATGCAACATTCAAATTTTTCAACCTATGAAGACTTATTCGTGAATTTTTCAACTGGACTCTTATGCAATTTTAAGCTGAGGAATCAGATTTCCATCATACTCGAGTGATACCAAATTTGGAGCATCAATCTCCCGTAATCCATTACAATTGTCAATAGTCAAGAGCTTTAGGGATTGACTCCCACAAATTTTGAACCTTTCCAACCTTGTAGAAACGTTAACTAATGCCAAATTCTCAAGGAATTGAGATGTAGAAATAAGGTGTTGGAGAAATCCTTCAGATATCCACATATCTGCTAGCTGTAAAAAAATTAGATTTTGACATTCTACAATATCCAATATAGGGGATTTTTTCCAACAACACCTAAAATAAAACAAGTGTTGTAGAGTTGGTTCTTGGATTTTAACACTCTGGTTCTCGTAGCAACTAATAGAGACTGACTTGATATTTTGAAGATTCCGCAGCTCAATATTTGTCAATGAACGACAATGCTCAATGATGAAATCATCAATCAAGGGACAACAATTGAGCAGATCTCGAAGCATGTTGTTGTCTAATTGAACTTGAGTTAGAGAAAGCTTTCTCAAAGAATGAGAGCTTGCAAGTTGAGTAGTAGTAACAGTAGATAATGAATGAACCATGAGATTACATCCCAAGAGAACCAATTGTCTTAAAGAATTTGTTGTCAAAAATGTGAAAATAGGGAAGGGGTATGAGGGTTCATAAACCTCACAAGTTAAATCTTTTACACCATTCTGAAGAGGAACGCGGAGCCACTTATCTATCTGAGGAAAAATAATACGATGTTGAAACACAGGAATTGAAATAGAAAGTTGAAACTTTTCAATAGGGGTTTTTGTTTGGCAATATCTCTCCATGACTTGATCCACTATTTTATCATCGCCTAGACTATAAGGAAAGGCGAATTCCAAGTTGGGATGAGCTAACCAAGCCTGTAGCCATGTTTTCGAGACAAGGGTCAACTTGGCTGCTTCTTGAAAACTAAGGTAAGACAATATTTTGTGAATGACACACACAGACAATACGTTCATGCAAGTCATGACTGCAATCTGATACAGATTCTATGGAATTTATAGAAGGGAAAAAGGACAAATATACCCCCGAACTATCGTAAATGGTATGCAGATACCCTCCGTTATAATTTTGGGGCTTTAGTACCCCTGCCATCCAAAAACTAGAGCATATATCTCCATTCGTTTAAAGGGTATATATGCTCTAGTTTTTGGACGGTAGGGGCACCAATGTCCCAAAAGTATGACGAAGGGTATCTGCATACCATTTACGATAGTTCGGAGGTATATTTATCCTTTTCCCATTTATAGAATGCAAATATTGTAATCCTTTCCTAGCTCGAATTGGAAATAAAGAAAACTAAGCTGAATCCTTTCCTATCTAGAATTGGTTAAGGTTCTTTGTTTTGTTGTTGTTATTTTAGTTAATCGATTAAGGTCTTAGGTATTTTAATTGTAGAAGGAATCTACTTTTCCAAGAATTAGTTCTTAAACTATAAACCCTAACCTCATTCTGAAACCAGCTAATATGTGGAAATCTCTTTTTTCCTGTGACAAAGTCTCGTCCCTTCAAAACAGTATGTGATTTAAATCCAAGCTAGTGACTTATAACAGCTAAAATTATTGCAGCGACTACAAAGTAAAATTACGTGCAAGGCACAACATTTGATGTGATAAATTTTTTGATCCAAGCCAGTTATCAGTTTCAAAACAGTATGTTATTTTTATGTCTTTATGTATAATGTAGCTTCTTTATCGTGCACTGTGAATTGCTATCAAACTAGATGCAGAACTCGAGCTTGCTCTTAAATTTCCATAATATTCATTCAGATTATGTCAACTGTGAATTCTAGACAATGGAAAAGGGAAAGAATTGGTTTTTTTGAATGTATGTGGAGAGTATTTAACTTCAGTTCTTCGATGCACCGAAATATATTAGGATCCTAAAATCGAGAACCAAACCAAAAAATCAAAGTTGAAGAAAGCAAGTACTGAAAAATCTTTGGTGAATACTAGATTTTCTCACCAATCAATAGAGTTTAAATTGCTTATAGAAGCCACAGCTAACTCTAATCCATTTTCAAGTATAGAAGAGCAAAAATAAACTTCTCTTCATACAATTTTCTGTCAAGAAGCCTAGTTTCAACAACATAACTAGTGAAATCCCATAGGTGGGGTCTGGGAGTGTAGAGTGTACGCAGACTTTATCCTACCTCATGGAGGTAAGGTAGATGTTTCCGAAAGGCTCAGACAACACATATCAAAGTAGATTTATGAGAGAACATAAGTAATGAAGATATCGCCAATAATAGATGTCAAGAAGCCTGGTTCAAGAGTCTGAAATCAGCATAATCTACTAAAAGGTCTGGGGAAAATCACTTACAGATAAAAGTAAATAAGAACTAGCCATAAACAAAGTATATATAATGCTTTATATCATAAGTTTTCTTTTCTTCTTCTCCGCATTCATCCTTCCCATCAGCATACATACAGTAAATCTTATCATTCATTTGAGTTAACTCTGGTTGCTGAACTGGTTCTGTGACTCATCAATTCCACCCAAAATTTCATTGCACTTTTGGAAAAGGTTAGCCAGTTGAAGTGACAAATCTGAAGTGCTAATGGCACTGAGATTTTGTTGATAATGACTCTTCCATCCCTCATCCATGGAATATTTTGCATTAATGGCCACAACAGTCTCATCCAGACAGCCAACTTTGTGCTTATACTGAATGCTAGAAGAAACGGGACTTGAAGCACACAAGATTTCAGAAAGGACCACTGGACTGTTTTCAGAATCAATATTGGCTTTTACATCAACCTCTGGATAGTCACAAACAATGGACTTAGTATCTGTGTTACCTTTGAGAAATGCCTTTTCTTCTACATCAGACCTGCATTTTGAATTTTCCTTGGGTAATGGCTTCATCTCAGTATCGAACTGCAAAGGCAACTCTTGGAATGACATATGATGTGGTTCACTTTTAAACGATTGAATGTCATCAAAACATTCTCCCATTAACTTTTCTGAACCATCAAAGTCTATTAAGTGGTAGTTCACGTCAGAGTTGAACAAGCTTCTACTTTGGACTGCATAGTCATATGCAGCCTGAGCATTACACTTGTTCAGAAATACAATCTGACATGTTGCTGAACCCCACGAAATACGGAGTGCTGATTCATCAAATGGCCCAAAATATCCAAACTTGGCTTTTAATTCTGAAGCAGTTGGAAGCATAGTTTGAGGAGAGAACTTTATTACCAGCATAGTTGGTTCAGCTTTCCATTCAGGCTCCTCAGTGAACCTCTTTTCAGACTCCACTGACAATGTTGATTGGATGTCAACGTCATCCCCTTGGGGTGTCAAAAGTGTTTGGTCACCATATTTCTTTGTCATATGCAAGGACTTGAAGCCCCTCAACTCTTCTTCGTCTTGGCAATTCAAGAGCGTCTGCTTTTTGTTAGTCTTCTCATGTTCATCTGGAAAACAACTCTCTTCATAAAAAGTTGATGGGGATTGCTTCAAATGCTTAAATGCATCAGTAACATTTCCTAGTTCAGCTCCATAGTCATTAAGCTCGTTATGTTTCTCAGTTTCTTCACCTGATTTTGTTACTAGATGGTCAAAGAAGGCATCCATTCGGAAGTTGCCTTTACGACCCTGGTCATCTGGTGGAGACTCTTCCCTCCTCTTCCTTTTAGTTTCTCTTTTACATGACTTCTTGGAGGAATCCCCTTGATATTCAAACAATTTGGCCCCATCTTTCGATACAGATGCATCAAAAGGAAAGGTACAACAAAAAAATAAATCAGTGTGTTCTCTATTTAAATATGGAATACTAGTATTTATCTAGGATAAGAAATAGGCAATAGAATGCACGATAAATCTGTAGAAACAAACATTTGTCCAATTGAGTGAGCACTTAGGAGGAGACAACCAAAACAAACTGACCATGAGAATGAAATTTTGGATGATGCACTGATGGAAAAGCTGAAAGCACAAACAGGTATGGTGTATGCACACTATTTTACCTTGTGAAGTATTGTATTCAAGACACCTAAGGGCTAGGAAAGACATGTTAATCCACAATTAGATTATTTTCATAACAGAATGGCAGAGCAACATTTGTTGGTTTTTGGCCAGATGTTGGTCTTACTTTCAAATGACCGACAGAACAAGCACATCAAAGTCTATAGCTCGCCATTATACGTAGGTCAACTCCTTTTAACATCCACTTTATGCTTCAGAAAAGTTCTATTTGTAAGGACAGTAAAATTCAATGCGCCGTTATACATAGGTCTCCTTCTTTTAACATCCACTTTATGCTTCAGAAAAATTCTGTTTGTAAGGACAATAAAATGCAACGCCCACCCAAGCTTGATTACATCTATACAACTACATACTCTAGATGTAGCCTGTAGGTGACCTATTTAGTCATCTGAATCTTCTCAGGTGATGCAATTAAAAAGAGGATTTGTTCCTGGCATAAACAAAAAAAAAAACACAACTACAATGGTCTAGAAAACAAATCATGCAGTATGAAATATTACCGGTACATTGATTCTCGTCTTTCGAAAATTCTACAGGATCCTCTGAGCTTGAGGCTTTCACTCCAAATGTCTGAACATAGGTGTCAACACCTTTTTCAAATTCATCAAATGCCAGATCATAAGTGTCATCATTCTCTTCAAAAACCGCTTTTCTGTAAGTAGTAACCTTTGCAATGTTAATTATCCCATAAACATTATTTGGCAAAGATCTTGGAGACATGGCCAACTTCTTTACAAATGAAAACATCCCATGTGGATGAAAACCATCTCTAGATTTTTTAATCTGCTTTGATGAATAAATGGTCCCAGGTGTATACCCGCTCACATCAACTTTATAAAGTCCTTCAATTCTTGTGGGCTGAAAATTACCCAGGCAGGAGCAAGTCAAGCCAAGTACTGCTCTCTTTTTCAGCTCATCAATAGCTTCTTCAACAGCCACAAAGAAAGTTTGAATTTTCGACTTGTTTGACTTCTCCTCAAAATGAGGTTCAAAAGGGATAATTTGATTATGATCAAGCCATGCATAACTATAATCACCATAAAAGGCAACGAGAACTGAACCATCTCTCTTGGCATCGCATACTGGAGAAGGTATTAGACTCTCGTCATATATTTGTCCTGGCCACCAGGGATGAGACATTACCTTTCCCCAAACAAGGTCTCCAACTCCAAATATATTATTTGATTCTTCTTCTTTTAAGGAAGTTAACCGACTGTACATATCCATAGAGCCAGGTCCTGTTCCTTTTGACTTGTCACTTTCCATTTTCAGTGAACTACAGAGAAACAAAGAATTAGAACTTCCTAATATGATAACTTACCATCCTTACTCAAATAACACATATGGAGTGGTTTAGAGAACAAGAAAATTGAAACCCTTTAAACAAGTGACAGAATCCCCCCAAAAAACATTAGGAGTAGTTTCTTACAGAAATGCATGATCACAAAATTATGAAAAACAAACCTTATTTGCATTCAAGTCTAAACAAAATAATCCCTGAAGAATATATGCTCAAATAAACAAGAAATACACAACACCCTCACACACATACACACATTTTGTAACTTCACCAAAATGCAAGACTAAGATATCCACACAAGAAAGCTACAGATTCACATTACAGAACTATGTAAACCAAACCACAAGGCCCAATTTAGCACTTCCACTGTAAAAAAATTCTGACAATAGAACAGCAAAAAACATCACATTTACAACCAAGAAAAACCCTTAATCCCAATTCTAGAGCACTTCCAGTATAATGTAGTTTTTCTTCTCAGACATCAACGATAAGAAGAAAAAAAAAGAGTAAAATGCTAAATAACAGAAAAAGAAGAGCTTTTCTAAATAGTGTCTATTAGCCATTTGCAGAACACCAAGACGATGAAAAATCAAAGCAAGAGGTGGGCCAAAAACAGAAGAAAAAGACCCCCAACAAGCTTAGATAGCTTAATAGAAGCAAAATTTGGCAACCATCAAAATTATTTCTCAAATAATTCATGTTATAGTGTAAGCAAGATGGTAAACCACCACCACCACCCCACCAAAAAAAATTTAGAAAGGTTCACACACCTTTGAATCTGCAAGCATTCAACACTCTTCTTGTTTCTCATTGTTAAACAATGGCTAATTTTTCATACAGATGCATGTACATTTATGTGTATATATGAAAAGGGGGAGAGAGAGAGGGGATATGAATGGGTGAATCGAATATGGCACGACTAGCAATGTTATTTGCTTGCAGTGTGCTCAGTTATACGTACACTATTGCATTCCCAGTCTTAACTTGCTGCTACTACTCACAGTCACCGTGGCACCATCTCATTCATTCTCAAATTTCTAACCTTTATTACTTTGCTTTTTCACTAAAGTTTGTACAAGACATTTCAACAATTTTAGTGAGCTTTTGGATATAAAAATTGAAAAATTTGAAGGAAAAAAAATACTCCTTTCGTTTCACAAAGAATGAGCTGGTTTGACTTGACACGGAATTTAAGTAAATAAAGAAGATTTTGAATCTTGTAGTCCTAAATTAAAGTTATGTCAAATGTACAAAATTGCTCTTAATCTTGTGGTCTTAAACATGCCACGTGGAAAGCAAAAAGTAAAATGTTACCAAAAAAGAAAATAGGTCATTCTTTTTTAAACTGACTAAAAAGGAAATGAGGTCATTCTTTGTGAAACGGAGGAAGTACTTGAAAAAAGCGTTTTAAAATTAGAGTTATGTTTCAACATAAATTCTGGTTAAATATATATATATATATATATATATGTTTCAACATAAATTCCAAAATAATACTCGAGAATAAGTGAGAAATATCAATGGGTAAACGGGCACTTATAAAAAAAGTTCAAAGTAATATCATCATAATAAGGATGATTTTTACAACATCACGATATTTTTCATTTGTTGTGACACATAACATATCAATCTGAAAAAGGTGTTGAGTTAATGTGGTAGGATATTTCATAAGATAGATGTGCTCATCCGAGCATGTAAATATATGTGATTGCAAATAATAAGTGATTGTGTAAACAATCAGATTATCGATCCCACATGGACTTGATTGTTGACAAGCTACTTATTTAACTATTATTGTTATGAGAACAAGTGTTATTTAGTTCAAAGATAGAGTTATTTGTTTGTTTAATCTACTAACTATAACTGAAGTAACATGAGTAAATAAGAATGAAATCATAGAAGTTGTTCACAAAGTTATTAAAGCCTAGGGCTATGTTGCTTTCGTAATGTCATCATATTTGTTTATCATTGTTAAATTGATTTAAGATATCTACTAACTTGTTGAGTCACAGGGTTGATAATATGGTCATGGTCTCTTGAGCGTCTAATCTCCTACCCAGATTAGCCTTCTAATTACATCATTGAGTGGGTATAGTTAAATCAATTTGAATGCATTTATGAATTTAAGTCAAGTAGGCTAAACTAGGTATGTCTTCATCATAACCATCAATTCGTCCGCAGACGAACCCTAGTCCCCTTATCTCATGTGTATTCCTAACTGTAATCTCCCAAGTTTCACTAGGAATTATCGATTTATCTTATGAATCGCAAAACCACAAAATAATAAGCATAAAATTAAGAAAACAAGGCAGGGATGGTAGAATACGCAATAACAAACAATTCATAAATTAGGATGTTCATACTATGGCTATAACTCTATATAGATAGATTATCCATTCGTAATCTTATTACAAAAGCTAGAATTCATAAACAAGTAAAAAAAATAGCTATGCAAAGGATGAATAAGTAACCCTAGTAATAGTTCGCTTCCAATCTTGTTATGTGCTCCTAATACGTTCGCTCTCTCCTAAAAAAAACTACTCCCTCTGTCCCAATTTATATGACTCACTTTCCTTTTTAGTCAGTCCAAAAAAGAATGACACATTTCTATATTTAGTAACAATTTAACTATAAAATGTATATTTTACCCTTAATGAAATGATTTACAGCCACACAAATTTCTATCATTCATTTTGGACCACAAGTTTTAAAAGTCTTCCTTTCTTTCTTAAATTTCGTGCCGAGTCAAACTACATCACATAAAATGGGACGGAGGGAGTACTAAGTATGGATATTTATACTATTTAAAAACACCTAGGAGGGCCCACAAGTTGGGATAGAAAAGGAAAAAAATTGTCCAAGGCTGGCCTACCTCATAGCACGAGGCAATGGGCTTCGTTGTAACGCCCCACTTCTTGAGAAACTGCTTTTATTTGTGAAATGACCATTTTTCCCTTCCCCTTAGCATTTCATGTTTTGTTTGCGTTGCGGAAATGGTTAGTGTGGTCCCTGATGCGATCGGGTGAGATTTTGGTGATTTTTAGCCTTTTTGAGTTGAATTATATTGATATAGTTAACTTTGGTCAACATTTTGAGATCCGATCATCAGATGGTGATTCTGTTAGTTCCCTTACGTTAGAAACGTCGAGTTTGGTCTAGTAAGGTGGTTGGTTAGAGTTTCGAGGCCTTAGGTTGAGATTTGGGTGTTTGAGCGAGAAGTTGAACTTTAGGCCAAAGAGAGGTCTGGAAGGGTATTTCTATCATAACTATATTTTTTCAGAAATCCAACAATTTTATTGAGTTCGAAATATCAAATTAGTGGGATAGCATATTTGGTTTATTTTTATCGGGTCCTGAATGAATCTCGATGATCTGTTCAAAGACTTTAATAAGATAGAAATTTGTTTTTTTCTAGTGATGGTGCAGTTGACCGCGGTCAATGTGTGGTCAACAATCAAAGGTGATCAACAGAAAGTCAACAACTCTTTTCGTTGGCTAAAACAATCTCATTTCTTCCCGTTTCACTTTCTTTTATCATTCTTTTCATATTGGGAGCTTGGGAGGGAGCCTTTGAAAGCATTTTCTTGAGAAAAAACTTGTGCGGATAAGTCCATTATCGATTTTATATTGTTTTCTTCGAATTTCTTCTTCCAAAACACTTAAAAATCAAGATTACAAATGTGGGTTTTGTTTTGTTTTTTTTCCAAATTAAAAAATGAATAAATTTCTTGATTTGGAACTTGTTTTTTACTTGATTTTAATGGATTTTTCAACCACAAATTCCTTGTTACTAATAGAACATAATTTTTAAATAAAAATCTGATTTTACCCTTCCCATTTTTGAAGAGATTTTTGGACTATTTTACCCCCGGTTCCTAACCTTAGCAATATGGATATCGTTGGACTCCTTTTGATGAACTCTTTCCATTCTTGATAGTTGGGGATCATTTGATTTAGGGAGTGCTCCGGTAGAGTTGTCCGGGTGAAGTTTTGGCCTTCGAGATAGATTTGGTTATCCCTCTTTTAGACTGAGATGAATAATTAATCTTTCTTAGGAAGTCAAGTGTGAAATGAGTTGTCGTATGAGTTTAGAGGTGGATAAGTGTTGACTTTCTTGTTTAGCCTGTATGGTGTCTATTTGTGATGTTTAGCTTGCATGGAGGCTCATGTGACACCCTTAATTATTGTTGAAAATCTGTGATAATTGAGAATTTGCCTAAGTGAGGGGTTAAGTAGCCTATTTGTTATATTTGACATTGGGATGCCCAAATTAAGGGCTTGAGTTGATACTTGTTCATCTTAAAATGAAAGAAAAGTTTTTTAAATGGTAAAGACTAATTTCAAATGGATTCTTCTACTATCCTTATCATTTAAGGGCGTGTTTCATGACTTATCGAGTTTGGAAACTTTATGATATTCAAAATTCTTGATGAGTTGATTATGCCTTTGTGTTGTATGTATTTGTGATGCATTCATCCTCATTCAGCATATCATTGTTCATGAAAATATGAGAAAGTGGAGAAATACTATTTTTTTAGAAAGAAAATGAGACACCTTACATTTATCCTTGACCACGAGCTAAGTGACAAGTTGATGAGATATTGAGATTTTGAGATTGGTATATATACTACGAGTCCCCCATGGGTCCTTGTCTAGAAGCTAAAGCTCGACAAAGTGTATACGATAGGTTGTGCGACAACATTGATTCCACCATATCATTTCAGCATCTCATTGCATTGCATTGACCAACTTTGGTGTGTTGTGTAACTTGTTTATCTGTAAATTCGAGTATTATTTATATCCTTATGTGTTTATTTTATTCGCGTCGTTATTATATAAATTGGCGGCACCGATATCAGAATTGGACTTTTATGTATACATGTGGAAGCATTTATAGTTTACTTCTTAAGTCTGTTTAGTTGTTTATACTCAGTGGGTCTAACCTACTGAGTACATGTGGATTGTACTCACCCCTACTTCTATTATCTTTTTTATGCAGATCCTAGTCAGGGTGATTTTCGTAGTAGTTGATTGGATCTAACGATTTCTTCTCATTCGGAGTTGCGTGAGATCCTTCTTTCCGGATCGCCATTGGTCTCCATCTATCTTTTAAAGTCTTTAATTTATTTTTGAAGACTTGAGATGTATTCCACATTCTAGAAATGTTTTAGATGTTCTTTATGCTTATGATACTAGGTTGTGAAATTTCCTTGTTGTGTTTCATTTCTTTTTGTTGTGGCTTGACTTTCCTTTGGAAGTCTTGTATGTGTTATTTCATTTGGCTTACACACCAATTTGGATTATCAGGGTGTATGCCATCATGACCTCGTTTTTGGGTCGTGATATTCGTCTTGCCTCTAGCTCCATAAGGCCTTTTGTTTCGCCTTGCCCTTTTGGTAGGCAAGCTGTAAAAAAGTTTGTATAAGACGTTTCAACAATTTTAGTGAGTTTTGGATATATAATTAGAGTTACGTTTGAACATGAATATAAATTGAAGTTAGTTTTTGATTTTTTTTTGAGTGATTTAGAGTAAAATTTGTGAAAATAACTTTTTGACATTTTTCAAATTTCAAAAATTGTAACAATTTTATTTTTAGGTGTTTACTAGACTAATATTCGGGATAAAGTGAACAATATTGATAGGAAAAGGGACACTTACAAAAAGAGTTCAAGCAATATGCATCATAATATGGATGATTTACACCGTCAGGTCATTTTCATTTGTCATAACATTGAACATATCAACCTGAAAGAGGTGGCGAGTTAATGTAGTAGAGTATCCCATAAGGTAGGTGTGGTCCTCCACACATGTAAGTGTACGTAGTTGCAAGTAATAAGTGATTGTTTAGATAATCATGTTTGTCGATCTCACCAAGACTTAATTATTGACTAGCTACTAATTTAATTG